CATCCTTTCACTTGTTTAGATCTTGCTTTATGCTTTTGAATAAAATCCTACAGATTTCTTCACTTTTTTTTTTTTTTTTTTTGTACCAAAGATTGGATCCAGGGGTGCTTTTCCACTGAGCCACATCTCCAGGCCTTTTTATTTTATTTATATAAATGGGGTCTTTGCTAAATTGCTTAGGGCCTCACTAAGATTGCTGAGGCTTGGCCTCAAAGTTGTGATCCTCTTGCCTCTGCCTCCCAAGTCACTGGGATTACAGGCATGCACAATGCACTTGACCAAGATGTGTTCTTTCTTGTTAAATTTTTTCTCAATATTTTTACATGTGAGTTTCCACAATGAGTGGAATATTTCTTTCAATTTCCATTTCTACCTGGTAATTTCTAGAATGGCGAAAATTACTTATTTTATAGTGTGTCCACCCAACTTATCAAGGCTTTTCATTAATATTTTTCCCACTAGTATTCTTTGATTTTCAAATCAATTTCATCAACAAAAATGAGAACAGCTTAACTTTTTCCTTTTGTTTATGTTTATTACATCAGCTGAAATTTCTAAAACAATGTTGAAATGATAATGGCAATAGTGAGCATCCCCCCTTTTTTTTTTTGATTTTGGTAAAAATAGCTTGAGTGATTATTTGGGATATGTAATGTTATTATCTATTCCCTTACATTGTTGTTATTATTTGGCACTGGAGATTGAACTTGGGGGCCCTCAACCACTGAGCCACATCCCCAGCCCTATTTTTTAATATTTTATTTAGAGACAGGGTCTCACTGAGTTGCTTAGTGCCTTGCCATTGCTGAGGCTGACTTTGAACGTGTGATCCTCCTGCCTCAGCCTCCAGAGCTGCTGCAATACAAGGTGTGTGCCACTGTACCCGGCACAGATGAGCCCTTTACAAAGTTACCTGAATGGAATTATTGTGCATAAATTCCTCAGCAAATTGATTCTTATCCTTTACGTTGCCCTATTTCTCATACTAGTACCAAAGAACTTTCCATTACCATTTCATCTCTTCTACAAAGTGACCAGAAGCGACAGTTATCATCTCTGCTTCTTGTGTTGACAAGTGACCCTGAATTGAAATTGTCATCTTCCCATTGATAGAATCCACTGATCCTCCCCTGGGCCCTTTGTCAAGTCTGTCCAGACCTGGGAGGACTCTCCCTTTTCTACCATGACCACAATGTCCAGTTCAATGTAGGAGTGTCCCCTCCTGTGTCGCTTGGGGTTCTTCGACATCCTTGACTACTGGGGCCAGGCCCACCAGTACCCCCAACTATCCTTCCTCATTCTGTTATCAAGGGACCCTCTCAACTTTGGCTTTGACAAAGACTCACCAGGGATTCAATCCTATCTGCCAGTGTCCCTGGTGGAATCTTTATATATGTATATTTTAGTTGTAGGTGGACACAATACCTTTACTTTATTCTTATGTGGTGCTGAGGATCGAACCCAGTGCCACAAGCATGCCAGGCACGTGCTCTACCCCTGAGCCCCAGCCCAGCTCCCCTGGTGGAATCTTGAATAGCATAAGCCATAACCATGCCAGGATCCCAGCTGTGGCAGGCTGTGTGGCTGTTGGGACTATTTGCTTTCCCTTCCTGGGGTGGATTAGACCTCCCCGCCCCTCTGATATCATGATTGATGTCTATTTGACTGATAGTCTTTAATCTCCTTGTCCTGTCAAACTGCAGGAGAACCAGGTGACTTGCTTTGACCAACAAAACATGGGTCGGAATGTGCGTGTCATTTCTTTCTTTTTTTTTTTTTTTAGTTGTAGATGGACACAATACCTTTGTCTTATTTATTTTTATGTGGTGCTGAGGATCAAACCCAGTGCCTCACATGTGCTAGGCAAGTGTTTTAGGCAACCACTAAGTCACAACCCTAGTCACAACCCTAGTCCTGCATGTTGTTTCTTGAGAGCAGCCTTGAGAACCATGGGATGGTTTTGTCACCTGCCATTTTCTACTGCCGTGAGATTGACAAATATCCCAGACAGAAGCTGCTCCAACAGCCTGGGTCCCAGAGTGAAGTATGGAGGAGAGGGTAGGCATTGAGATGGGCAAGCAGCAGGAGTGAGAAGTAAACTTTTGTAGTTGTAAGCCACTGAGTTTTTAGGCCTACTTGTTACCGCAGCATAACCTGACATCTCCTTACTGACATACTAACCCTCACTGGCTTCCATTTGTTTCAAAATCAAGTATTAGTTGCCATCAAGAAAATCAATGCCCCCTCCCCACCCACCATGACTTCAGAGAGAACTCTGGGCCCCTCAACTGCCACCACCCTGATCCCATTGGCAAGATCCACAGCCACGATCCAGGCCTAACATTTCCAGCCTCCTCCTCCCTTCCTCGCACCTTGTGGGGAGAAAGGGTGACCCATTCCTGGCTCTACTTTCAACACTTTGCCCCCAAACCTTGGCCTTTGGGGGATGGCTGCAGCTTCCCCCAGGTCCCTGTGAATGGCCAGACTTCCGAGAGAAGCCTGTGCCTCCCTTTAACTTCCCGGGAGTCCCACTTTCATACTGCCTGGCCTGTGGATTGAGGCACTGTGAAGTGCCCCTGCAGTGGGTGTCACTGAAGATCATCCTCAGCCCCTGTTTCCCCTCCTCTGCCTTTTCTTGCTTCCCAAGGAGCCTGCCGGTTCACCTGGCACTCCGCTCCGGCTGGGTTTGTATTAATGTCTGGGCTCGTGTCTGGGCCCCAGCTGCATGGAGACGGCCCAGACAAAGGCAGTTCAGCAGGGCTTCCCAGCTTCTGTGGGTGTAGCACCACAGGGCCCTGCCCACTGTGCTCTCCAGCCTCCCCACCAAGCCTCCATCAGCAGTGAGGGACTGCAGCAGCCTTAACCAGCCCTCTCCTCCCACCATGGTGCTACCATGACTCTAGAGACACAGCAGCCACCGCCCCAGTGCACAGTACAGGGGAGATCCCCTCTTCCTTGTGGGCAGGCATTCAAATGGCTGAACTGTCAAGTGTCATGGGGGAGCCACCAGTCACAGGCACCACTGAATTGCAGGAGTTCACTTCCTGATTGATATATTGCTTTCTGGTAAAGGTGAGAAAGGCCCGGAGTGTGAAGGTCAGGAAGAGGAAGAGAGGTGCAGAGGGCACCTGGGGGTAGAGCAGCTCAGGCAGAGGCCCAGAGGAGGTGAACCCGGTGGTGGGGCAGCTAGGGGCCCTGTTGGTGGGAGCAGGAAGGAAGGTGTGAGCAGAGGGGAATGGAGCAGAGGGGGGACCACAGTCTTTGTCCCAGGGAGCCTGTGTTTCAACAAGGACCCGTCATAGTGTGGCTCCAGCATCACGTTGAGCATTTTATGGTGTCTGATTGTTTAAAAAGGGGGAAAAAAAATAGAGCAGAAACTCCCCAACTTTCCAGTTGTTCTCAGCGTCTTGGTTCATGCTTGACTACGTGGCTCTGGTGGTTTCCATGGAAACTGCTCTGGAAAACAAAACGACTTTTTGAAAACAAATACAGATTCTCCTTGACTATTGGTAGGGTTACTTCCTTGTTTGAACCCAGGGTATTTTGGTACCAGGGATTGAACTCAGGGGCACTCCACCACGGAGCCACACCCCCAGGCCTATTTTATATTTAGAGATAGGGTCTTGCTGAGCTGCTTAATGCCTTGATTTTGCTGAGGCTGGCTTTGAACTAGTGACCCTCCTGCCTCAGCCTCCCAAGTCACTGGGATTACAGGTGTGCGCCACTGTGCCTGACTGGAAATTGAAAATATCTTAATGTCAAAAGTGCATTTAATTCACCTCACTTACCAAACATCACACCTTAGCCTGGCCTACCTCCGATGTGCTCAGAACACTTAGGTTGGCTTATGTGGGGCAAAAGCATCTCGCTTGAAGCCTACCTTATACCAGAGAGTCGAATTTCTCAGGTACTTTATTGAATACTGTGGAATACAGGTGGCTGTAGGGTCAAGGACCATCTGTCTTAACACTGGGCAAATGGACTCTGAGAATAGTCTTGTGTCCTGGGCCACAGCAATGGTGTCATTGTGTGGCTGTGGGCACCACTTCACTTGGATGCTCTTTTTACTCCTTTGGGTACATCCCCAATTGAACCACACGCCCTCTGAAGCCAGGGCAGATAACATTCTCCAATTTTATTACCATGAGGCCTGTGACAAGTGCCAGCCAGAGTTGGGTGCTGGGTGTTCACGACCCCTTTCCTCCCAGTGACTGGATCTAGACAAGGTCTCCCAGGAGTCAGGACAGCACAGCCCCTGGAGGACCTCCCAGTGGGCCTGGCCCCTCCAGCTGCCTTTGCAACCCTTTTGCCCCCTCTGAGCCCTGGGCCTGCTGGGAAGCAAGGGATTTCAGGCTTCCTCTCTGCACAGCCTCATCCCAAGGTCTTAGGGATGGTCCCACCCCCAGCCCCCTTCATTTCACCTCGAGCAGAGGGACTGCTAACTGTGTCCCCTTTAGGTACTGAAGCCAAGGTCACCTGGATGTGGGGCTGCAGCCCCAGAGCCCAGCTGAGGTGGGGTGCAGAGAGGGGGACAGCAGGGGTGAGAGGGTCCACGTCCTCCCTTGGCAGGTGGGGCTGACGCTAAGGGGTGGCTGCAAGCTTCCCCAGACTCCAGCGATCAAAGCCGCAGCGAGGTGTACCTGACTGGGGAGGGGGAGGGGGAGGGAGGAAAGCCGCGTCCTTGGACTGAAAGGCTGGCGTGGGCTTGGCCGGCTGGGGCGGGCCCTTGGTAGCTCTCCCTGCCTGACCCCTGGAGCTTGTCTCAGCCCCTCTTCTCCCTTCTCTTTGCACAGCGCTGAGGTCCCGGATTAGGGAGAAGGGGTGGGGAAGGCTGGGCTGTGCAAAGGTGACACGCTGGCCCTCACGCCCAGCAGGGCAGGTAATCACGACTTTCAGTTGCAGCCGCGGCCGGGCTCTGCTGTGCAGGCCCTGGCTGTGTCCCTGCTGCCACCCCAGTCCTGGCACCTGCTCTGCTCCCAGGCTCCTCTGCCCACCCGTCCATGCTGCTGCTCAGGCTCCTCGGCCTCCTCTGGATGCTCAGGGCCTCCTCAGGGGCCACAGGTGAGAGGGACGGCGAGCAGGAAGGGAGCTGCTGTTCCGGGGCTCAGTGGGGGTGGCTCTGAGGCTCACACTGGAGGGCTGAGGAGGGGTCGCTGTGGTCCCCCCCGGGTGCACAGGAGGGCGGCTGAGCTGCTGTGCTCTTGACCAGCGGCTGAGTAGGCTGTAGGACTGGGCACTCTCGTATCAGCATTTGGAGGGTGGGAGTGCACCTTCTAGAACCTTCCAGGGACAGTGTTCCTCTGACTTGGTCCCCTTCATGCCCACTGCTGCTGTCTACCCCAGCCTTGGTCTTCCTCCCACCCTGGACCTCTGGGACGGCACCCTCTGCAGTCCTAGCCATTCTCTGTCCCTGGCTCCTCTTTCCCTCTCTTGGGCTTTCTGCCTTTGGTTTCCCTACTTCTCTCCCCAGTTCTGCCCCTCATGTCCCTAACCCAGCCAGGTCATAGCTGTTGTCACCAGGGCTGGGGTCGATAAAGTCCCCTTTGTTTCACCCAGAGGGTGGCTCTGAGACCACCCACCCTAGGCCACCCAGGTTTGTGCCTCTCATTCCTTTTCAAGGCCACATTCTGGCTGTAAGAGGCCCAGGCTTGCTTTCCTCATGATTTCTCCACCCCACCTCCCTGACATCCCCAACCAGCCTGAGAAGTGACACCCAGCCCTTAGGAGGAAGCAACCATGGGTCCCCATCTGAGAAGGACTGCGGCTGAGTGGCAGGAGGGGGATACTTCCTGCCTGTCTCCCCGACCCCTCGCCCCCAGCCCAGCAGACCGCTGATCCTCAGTGTTACCATGTATAAAATGGGTTGGTGATCTCTAAAGAACAAGGGGGTGCACTAGTTAACCCAGTGGCTGGAACAGAACTGGCTGTAAGAAAATGTCCATTTTAAAAAAATTAACTGCAAGGACTTAGGTCTTCAGAACTCCTGTCCGACGGCTCCTGTTTCCTCTTTTTTGGGGAGTTTGTTCCTTTTCTGTGCTCCTTGACGTATCAGTTCCTCAGTCTCAGCACAGTCTGAGCTGCAATCTCTTTTCCCCCTTGGGGGTCCTCTTTGCACATCTCCCTCTGTGATCCCTGACTTCTGATTTCTGTGACATGCCCCCTTGCCCAGCACAGCCTTGAGAGTTGTCTCTCCTTCTCTGGAAGGGAGTCAGCCCTGGTGTTGGGGAGGAGGGGCTGGAGGACTCCGGGCAGCAGATGGACAAGGGGAAGAAGGAGGGGAAGGGAAGGGCCCCGGGGTGTGGAGGAGGGAGGAGGAGTGAACTGGGGTGCTCAGCACCGCCTGGCAAGGGGCTGAGGGTGTCCTCTGCTGTGCGGGGGCAGACCTCTAGATGGTGGGCTTCAGGACCCCAAAGCCCCCAGCTCCAAACTGCCCCTGACAGGGAAGGAGCTGGGATATGTGTCAGGAAGCTGAGAGAGTGACTAACTTATGTGGTGTGACGAGGACAAATGACCTACAGATTCACTCATGGCTTCTGTTCCTCTACCGCCAACACAGGGGCTTTCTCCACGGCCACATCCACCTCTGCTGCAGCCCACCCTGCCCCGCGCTCCAGGGGTGCAGCATGGGGGCCCCTGGGTGCTCCCCACACAGCTCCTCCCACGCCTGGCCACAGAGGAAAGACACCTAGGCCTCTCACGTCCATTCACCTCAAACCTGGTTCTGAAATAGGGCCCAAATCCCCAGTCAATGCCAACCCCTCCACCACCCCTGGGGCCACGTTCGCCATCAGGGTTGAAACCACGCCCCCTACAGTCTTTGTCTACAAGTCTACCACTGAGTGTATAAATCCCAGGACCCTTGTCTTTACCGCCACCTACCCCACCACCACCTGTGTGACCATGATCACAGTGCCCCTCACTGGTTCATACACTACCACTCCTGTGACACAGAAGCCAGTGACAACCATCACCAGTACTTACCCTGTCACCACTACCCAGAAGGTGACCTCAGCCATGACCTCTTCCCCCACCTCTACCACTATGGGGGACACCTCCATGATAATGGCCATACCCTTCTTCTCTTCTTCAACCTCAGATACCACCAGGGACTCTGTGACCTCCTCTACAAAGGGGACCACAGGATGGACTACCCTGACCCCATCAGGTGTCCATGCAACCAAGTTTCCAACCCCAGGAATGACTTCTCTGACTGCTACTGTCCCTTCTCTAATGCCCCCCAAAACCTTCCTAACAATAGTCACTGGTAACACCTCATCACCCACCACCAGGGGTAGCTTGGTCACAACACCATTTCCTAACACCAGCAGCACATTTGAAACAAAAACTGCCACCACACATTCAGCCGGTGCCACCCACAGATTAACAACACCTGTTGCTTCGGCCTCTGTGCAAACACACACTCATCCAGACAAACCAACAATGATAATGACGTCCAGGAAAACCACACACACTCCCATCGCTGACACTCCCAGAGAGACTCTCACCACAGAAACGATATCCTCCTCCCCAGGGATGTCAACTGTCACGCTGGCCGGTACAGTCCTTACCTTGAAACCCAACACTGCTCCACCAATGGCCTCAGAAACCTTAACAATACCAAAAAGCACGCTTCCATTTTCCACAAACCCTACTACCAACCCCACTAGGTCCACCATGTCCACAACTGGCATCACCTCAGCTCCCACCACCTCAGGTACCATGGAAACTTCCAGAACAGTAACAGCAGCTTCAACAAGTAGAGGTTTCTCCAACACAACACCGACATCTAGCAGTCACTCAAGTGAGATCACAACAGGCTTGTTCTCTGTGGGGACAGGACTCATTTCAACCCAAACAGCAACCCAGAGCCGTTTCATTTCCTTGTCCCCCACCATCCAGAACACAGAAACACCACGGGCCAGAACCATCCTGATCGCCACTCCCAGCGTGACCACTAATCTCATGAGTCCTGGAAGCTCCCCAACAGGTTCCCTGGCCACAGGGACTCCAGCCACACCTGCACCCTCCCCAACCATGGCAGCCAGCAGCTCTTCTGCCATGACTAGCAACGTGGTCATGTCCCCCACAAGTACAATCCAGTCTTCTGCCCAAATCCCAGGCACACACCCAGTCACTGCTGCCACCACGCACACCATCCCATCATCTCCCTTGGTCACCACACTCCCAACCACCACTGCCACGTGGACATCAGAGATATCCTCAGCCAGTTCTCCCTCTAGTGGTGTCACACATTCCACATCTGATGTCACCTCTCCTTCCACCATGACACACACACAGACCAGCAGTGCTGCTTCCCTCACTCCCACCTGGTTCTCTGTGTCCACCTCAGAAACCTCCAAGACTTATCTCACAATGAAGGTGACTGTGGCCACCATGACCACCTCTCATGGCACACACAGCATCACCACTTCCAATGTCTACCCCACTCATAGCACATCCCCAACTGCCATCTCCACACTCCCTAGGACCTCAGATAGCACAGAGGCCTCCACACCCAGACTCACACCTTCCTCCAGTCCAGGCCTCCCTACGGTCACAGTGACAACCAATGCCACCTCATCTAC